GAGGCTGACTTGAGATCCAAAGTCCCCTTGCTCTTCTTCATCTTCCCCATCCTCCTGGGACTCACCATCGTTTCCTGCTCCTCCTCCCATGCTGAATGGAAAGAAGTTTCCTAAGGTGTTCTTCATTCTTTCTGAGAACGATGACGACGTTGTTTGTTTCCCAGTTCCGCCTGCCATCATAGTGTTGTCTGTCGGAGATCTTCTAGTCGCCGCTACTTCAGTTGAGATGTCGGACAGTTCCGACATCTCTTCTCGATCCAATGTCCCGGTGGAAGTGGCAAAATCAAGGCCTTGTTCTACCGGAGTAGATTCACTGGCCAGCCTTCTGCCTCTCCCTTCCAGTCCATTTACTTCCTGGTTGTCGTTCATGGTATGGTCTGTATTGACCTCCACTTCTAACAGTTCTCTTCGCTCTTCTGAGGTCTTCTGACTTCTCGTTTCAACCATTCTGCCTGAAACCGTCTCCTCTTTATCGGACCGGGATCGCTTGATCCAATCCACAAAAGGATCGGTCATCGTTTTTCTTTGCTTTTCAGGTATGAATTTCCTAGAGCTATTACCTCGTTTTGGTATCCTTGACTTGTCTAGACTCATTTTCTATTTGTCACTTTTTAATACCTATACTTAACTCGATTGCTAGAGACTTTATAGTTTTATTAACAATAATAATGACACAACACAATGAATTCCACCAGATTCTATTAAATAGTGACCACGAATCCCTGTATGTTGTCAGAGTACAGTTTGTATAAAATTTATTCACACTAACCGATTATCGGTCCAAAGATCTGGAAACTAGCACAATATGATGTTATCAGTCAATTTAAAAGATAGTGTACTCACTACCCAATCAAGCACAGTTTATGTTGATTTAAAATCAAAAACAAAAAAATATATATCATGACAGATTATGATTATTTCTATAAAAAAAACGTATGTGTCTTGTACTCTTAGTCGGTCGCAGTACAATAGTCGAACATGTCTTTTAAAGAAAAAGCTTTCCCTGCTTGGTGCTGCACCAAACAGACAAAACTTTGAAGGCAGTAATTTTCTCAAGTGGGCGTCTATTGCACCCACCGAGTACTGTGTTACCTATCTGCCTTCGGACTGCCCGAGCTAGACCTACTAAAATCCTCAGGGCAGTCACTTTTCCCAAAAACGTATTATGTTTCAATCCACACCAATGAGTCACGCTCTTTTTAATTTAGACTTAGTGTCGCGAATATCCGAGTTCGGACCTGTTTTGTATTGGTCTGGTTCTTTTTGAAAGGCAAGTTACCAGTGCAGTCACTGATACCTAGCCTGTGTATTAATAACCTAATACCTCTCGCTTTTTAGTCTTTCTTTCGTTTACCTAAGTCCTTAATAAAATAATACCCCTCCGGATTGGCACAAATAGGACCCTTCCGGACTGTCAGAATATAGACCCCTCCGGATTGGGACCCCTCCGAGTTAGTTAATAGTAGACCCCTCCGGATTTGGACCCCTTCGAATTAGCAACTATAAGACCCCTCCGGATTCGGACCCCTCCGGTTTTGTGGAAAGTAGACCCTTCCGGATTCGGAGCCCTTAGCTCTGTCAAAGTAGCTTTTCGTAGTTTTCTTAATTTCAGCATATACCCCTCCGGATACGTTCTGCGTTGCTTTTATGCTGTTTGAATTAACTGGGAAGGGTATAGGGTCCTTTCCTAGACCCCTCCGGATTGAAGTTAAGGCACTTATTTGACAATTCACACTAACGGTGAAGGGTCTTATCACTTGCCTAATTTCGACTCTATTATGGTTGTGTTGTGCCTTCAGCCCTCCCTTTTTGTCTAGAACTGTCCTAAGTTACTTAGTTCAATCGCTATCAACTTTTGGTAGGGGTATAAGGGTTTTTCAGAAAAATTTATAAAACGTGAAGGGTGTACCCCTCCGGATTTGTGTAATTTGCTGAAAACAATCTCAAAAAATTTTCTCGCTCGTTTTTCCGGGAAATTTCCCAATCCTGTCAGTAAGCTCAGCTAATCTCTGATCTATTGGTACCAAGATCAACTCGATATGCTCTGTAGTTCCAAAGTTATTAACCAAACTGTCTTTTTTCCAAACTCAAAAATTTTCTCTCTTATAGGTTCCGCCTAACTTTTTCCGCAAATCTGGTCCTTTCGACCTAAAAATTATTGATCTAAGCTCAGAAGGCCTATACTCTTCTAGTCCAATGCAAAAGACCCGATCTAAAACGCTTTTGTAGAAAAAATTTGCGAAAAACTATGCTACCTGGACCCCTCCGGATTGATGAATCCACCAAATCAAACACGTTATGTTCGATTTCTCTGCAACCCGGAAGGCTTTCGGGTAGCGGGTTTTAAAACTCGTAGATTCACTAGTGGACGTTGTCCGAACAACTATTTTTACTGTCCTAACTCAAAGATTTCAAAAAATTTTCTGATTTTATAGTGTTTCTTACTATCAAAAAATGGGAAAATTTGGTTTTTGGTACCAAACTAGTTCCAACCACTTCCGAACTAAAGTTAACCTGTTCTACTTACTACAGTAGTGCAGTTACGATGTAACACACTAACTTAGCGCTTTTTTCCGTTTCAAAAAATATCGATATCTCAAAAATCGCGACTTGTGGGGGGATCAAAATATCGCTATTTTGACCCTAAAAACCGGTCTGTTTTCGTTGTTTTTCACTGAAAAACGATATAAGACTATTAATATAGGCTATATAAGTAATAATATTAGTAATACTATACCCCTCCGGGTTTGTTTATTATCCGAATTAAGGTGCTTAACTCGGATATTCGCAGTTCGGTGAAGGGTCACTACAGTGCAGCACTGTCGAGCCCCCCACAGATTACTATCTTACTATTTGTACCAAAAGGGATACAAAACTTGTTAACGATACCCAACAGTCGATTGTTGTTGTCGTTGAGCCCCTTCTTGTTGCTCCTTGTACTGCTTGCCGGATCGGTCTTCACCCAGGATCCTTCCGAATTGAGCGCAAATCAGCTGACCCTTCCGGATTGAGCGCAATTTATCATTAACGTGCTTAAATGCTCAAATAACCCTACAGTACAAGCCTCACAAACGGGCCACAAAATTGATCGTAACAATCCTGACTGATATAAATGCCTGTAACAACAATATATCTATCAACAACAAACGGGGGGGTCGGATCACATCTTGTCTGGGGGGATGATTTCTACTGATTTTTTACTTTTTTTTACTGTTTTTGGTTTTTTCGGTTATTTTTTATGTTTTTTGTTTTTCTTGGATACTATACTATTTTTTGTTTGGTTTTACTTATATCTTTAAGTGTTTTTGGTCACCAACCACTCAGGGGACGAGGAGACGGCCGATCCCCCCACCCTTCCTGGTTCGTGAATTTTCGGTCCTAACTAGGTTAAAAAACTATTCACGGCAATCCGGAAGGCCTCCGCGTTCCGAACTACCCTTCCGCCCCGGCGGTTTAGGCCTATTAAGGGCGTTAATGTGAGCATCCGCTCGGCGCGGAGTGCTCGTTAACGGTTCCGCCGGTCATGATGTTATAAAAGAATAACACCCAGGAGCGCCATAAAAACATACATGCAACATTCGCCCGGAAGATACATATCGACGGATAACAAAACTAAGTCTTAAGACGACTGGCTAGCGTCTAAACAGAGCTTTGCATGTTTTTCACCGTCTCTACCAAGCCAGTATTTTTCGGTGGTCTTTTCCAACATCGGGTCGACAAAAACGTTACTGCTCTCCGGCTTCGACCAGAACGCTCAAATTAACTGAATTACATGCAAAAATAGTGAGCTCATGGCTGGGTCTCAGTATCCCCAGACCACGAGGTCACTCCTAAAAACAGGGCTACTACTTATTATATTACTATTATTTTTGTTCAGTAGATAAAAACCATCATCTCCATCGAAGATGGATCAACCCTTTCCCCCCAACTCTTAGCACCTCATCCTTGTTAAAACTAATCCAAATATCAATTAAATTCAAGTCAGGACATGACAGGATGCTAAAAGTTCACACGAGTCAATAAAAGTTTTCCGTCCCGAGACCCTTCCGAATTCTTGAATCCGGTGAATCAAGCTCCTTAAGTTCGATTTCACGAAAACACGGAAGGCTGGTTTCCACCCTTCACCGTTGCTCGCAACCGCCTTGCAACTATTGTAGCAGCACAATAGTTGCAACTCGGAACGTTCTCTGTAATTCGTTGTCGTCTTCTTCAATTTCGATTTCCTCAATTTCGATTAAGTTGTTCTCGTCAGCGCAACTAATGTTGTTGTGTTTTTTCTCTCGTTTCTTGTTAAAATGGCCGTTTCAGCATTTCTCAGAAATGTGACGTCATCATTCGAATTTTTGAAATTTTAAAATACTAGAATATTCCAGCCCTCACCGTTTGGCTAAACGTTCCAATAACGCCCTTAGCTCTTAAAAACCACCAATCCGGAAGGCTTACTGCTAAAATTCCGAATTCTGCAGAGATTGCATTTTTCACATTCTGGTCGAATGTCACAAATTTTCAAATGTTTAAAACCACTTATTGTTCCGACATTGCAAATGGGGAGGAACTTTGTATTCGGTTGTGTTTTAGTTTTTATCCAAGCCAAATCAGGCACCACAAATAATCATCGAACTGGGTTGGGTGATATTTCATATTGAAGCCCTTTCAGTCGTGATTCGAACTACATTTACGAATGTCTAAAAAAACCCTAGGTAGAGAAAACCGGTTTAATATTTTAATATTTCGTTTTTTTTTGTCTTATTACGACCAAATAAAGTCAAGATATTTTGATAAATTGGTCATTTAAGCTTAAAGCAACTTGTTTTTCCAAATGGAAACTAGTTTTGAAGGCTATATTTGTCTCTTCCCAGAAAACATTTTTTATCCATTTATTGTTTGATATTTTTTTCGAAGACCACTGACGCCGATTATGCCCAATTTACAAACTCATTACTCGTGTGTATAGTTTTTTCATCACACTACATAGAAAACTTATTTAAACTTATTAAACTTATTAAATAGATTTAAGGTCATATGTTTCTACGAGGTAGCCGGGGTTGCCTCATATTTCAATGATCCACATTATTGGTGCAAGTTCTCTATATCACGCCCTTCACCCGAAGAACAGTGACGATCAAGAACTCATCCAACTAGCTGACCAATTGCGAAAATACAACGATTGCAACCTGTCCGCTCTTCTAAGCAAAAAGCGAAAACAGAAACCATCAAAAAAGCAACGCGAGAAGCAACGGGAAGCGAAACAACAACGGCTAGAAGGAGAATCCCGCTGAATAGGTTAGTAGTGGTAGTAGTAGAAGCCTGGGCACAAAATTATTGTCCCAGTCTTAAACAACTGTACACAAACAAAGAACTGGACTTCATTGTCCCGGTTTTTACGTTGGTACTTTGTTATATCCTCTTAAGAACTGGACTTCAATGTCCCGGTCTTTTCTCCCCAATTTAAGAACTGGACTTTGTTGTCCCGGTCTTATACCCCCTGACTAAGAACTGGACTTTGTTGTCCAGGTCTTAGACTCTAAGACTTATCCTATCTCTATCTCTATTACTACTTCGATCTAGTATTTGTTCTATAAGTATATCACATCATCTCAAGAAAACACCCTTAAAACCTACAAGCGAACATTAATCAAAATGCGAGAAAACTGCAACAGCTGTAACAGAAAACTCAAAATGGGACCTAAGTTCTCATGTTATACATGTGACAAGGTCCTACATCTATCCCCTGAATGCACTAGGTTCACTAACGATGAAGTCAAAGTCCTCATCAAACTGAATGATAACCTCCTCCATATCTGCAATGACTGCAAACTCAAACGTGACGATCTTGTCAAAAACAAAACTACAACAAGTAACAAACTTGACGAACAACTTGATAACCTGCAACTACAAATGAAGGTTCTCACCGAAAAAATGGAGCAATCCAGCACTGTCATCACTCAAGTACAAGCCGATATGAAAACACTTAAAGAAAAACCCAACAATTTCCGAGCAGCCGTGGGAAACGTAAGCCCAGGAAGAGTGGTTAATTCGCCAACTGTACCAAAAGCTCAACTTGGTATCCGAATACGCGGTGTTCCCGAAAGCAAAGAAAAAAGCGACATTGAACGAATGCAAGAAGATCTGGGGACAATCGACAGAATACTTGCATTCCTCCAAATTGACGACCGAAAATTATCCAAGGCAACTCGGATTGGAAAATTCAATCCCGATAAGGGGCCTCGTACCCTGCTGTTCAACACCGAGAGTAGCATAAGTTAAAATTTGATCCTAAAATCGACTTCCAAACTAAAAGACTTCTCGGAACTTCGGGTCTTGATCAGTCCCGAGTTATCCAAGGCGGATGCCGAAAAGGAAAACAATTTAACAATTGTCTCAAGAAAAGGAGGGAACTGATAGGAAAAAATCACGACCCGAGCAAGATAAAAATCAGAAATCTTAAACTAGAATTGAAAGAAAACGAAAAATGGATTGTTTACGAAGAAAGTAAAACTTCCCAGGAAACCGATAATAATGCAGACCAAGCTGGTGATGTTGCCATTACCGGATGACTAGGACCGATGAAAATGTTGACATTCAACACCAGAAGTATCCTGGATATAAACAGGAGAATGAAATTGTCAAACGCAATAGCAAACTCAGAATACAATATTATCTGTCTCTGTGAAACCTGGCTCACAAAAGACGTAACAACTGCCTCGCTCTTCCTAGAGAACTATCAAGTATATCGCAATGACCGAGAAACATCAGATAACAGAAAAACAAAGCACGGTGGTGTACTCATTGCCATCAAAAATGAAATCTCACATGTCTTACATTCCATTGAGAGTCTCAAGTCTGATTATCTCTTCATAGAAATACATTCCAATAAAAGATCAATTATCTTAAGCTGTGTTTATAATGCACCCACTCCTAGCACATACCAATGGTCCACTGAAAGTTTCTTAACTTTGATGAATGAAATGGCAAATCTCAAACTAGCCAACAAAAATGACCTCTGTGACTTAATACTCACCGGTGACATCAACTTCTCACAAACATACTGGGAAGCACTCTCCTCATCTGACATATACGAGAGTCAACTACTGGACAAATTAGTTGAACTAAATCTTTCACAACATGCACCAACCCAACTAGACGTGCTGCTTTGCGACAATCCAGAATTAATTTCACAATGTCAAATCGACAGGAATATTCGAGATAAACTAACTAGTCAGTTTTCTGACCACAAACCACTCTGCACCACAATTGCCGCCTTTAGCTGCATTAACCTTCAAAAAATAACAAATCATCGATATGCTTTCAAACGAGCAGACTGGGACAGCTTAAATTCATCAATAGAAACTGAACCGTTTATCCCGTACTGCTACAGTAACGTGAACGAAATTATCCGACAATGGTACGAATGGCTGTGGGAAAAAATCGAAAACTTGTACCTAGAATAACTGAGCATCGATCAAGGTTACAACCCTGGATCACGCCAGCCACCTCCCACCTCATCAAAAAACTTCAAACAATGAAAAGAAAACCAAAACAAGGTCTCGAAAGACTATTAAAGATCAAAAAACTTGAAAAAGATATTCAAAGGTTTTCCGAAGATGACCTAGCGGAATTTGAAAAAACCGTCCTAGAAGAAAGAACTTTCAGCAAAATTCAAAAATACCTTAAATGCATACGCAAGACCCCAACAATTCCTTCGACGGTCAAATACGGAAACACTGAATCATCAAATGAAAGAGAAAAATGTGAATTATTCAATGACTATTTCGTCAGCGTGTTTGGCACAAAAGAACATCAAACCGGTATCCTCTTTCCAAAAAGTGAGTTGAATAGATTTATTGTTAACCAAAGTCAAGTTAGCGAAAAAATGAGGCAACTTAATGTCAATAAATCAATGGGACACGACAACATTGGCAATCTCATTTTGAAATCATGTCACAAAACTCTAAGCAAATCACTTACCCTTATATTTCAAACCTGCCTTAACAAAGGAATTTTTCCTGAAATATGGAAAATTAGTGAAGTAACCCCTGTTTTCAAGGAAGGAAGTAAAACCGATGTCAGTTGCTATAGACCAATCAGCCTACTCTGCTGCTGCTCAAAATTGCTTGAAAAAATAATATTTGACAAACTCTATACTAAAGTGAAATAGAGATTACATGAAAGTCAACATAGATTTCGAAAACGTAGATCCGCCACAATTCAACTTCTTCTATTTCTTGACCGAATATACGAATTTAACGATCAACAGGATTTACAAGAACTTGCAGTTCTATACTTGGATTTTGCCAAGGCATTCGACACTGTACCTCATGATATTCTGCTTACGAAGATCAAAATTTTTGGAATTGGCGGGAAATTGCTGTCACTGATATATTAATACCTCAACAACAGAAAGCAATGCGTTAAGATTGAAGACTGTAGCTCAACCCTAAAAGAAGTCACCAGCGGAGTTCCGCAAGGTTCAATTCTGGGACCGCTGCTGTTCTTACTTTTCATAAACGATCTACCTGAAACCATGAATGACACAGACAGTTTTGGGTACGCAGATGACTTTAAGGTTATTATACTAAATCAAACTTCCCATGACACTGCAATTGTTAAAATAGAGAAATGGCTACATGAAAACAAAATGCAATCCAACATCAAAAAATCAACGCTCCTCGGCATCAAAGTTGATTTAAAAGCTAGTCTCCTGAACAAAAATCTTTCCTCAGTAAACTCACAGCGTGACCTAGGACTGATTGTGTCCAACAAGCTCACATGGAACGAAAATTGCTCTCGTCGGACATCCAAAGCAATTAGTGCTCTCTTCCAGATTAAACGAAGTCTGACTATGAAAAGCAGTATGACCGCCAGGCTTAACGCATTTACTGGGTATCTAGTACCCATAGTAACATACGCATCCCAAGCATGGACTCCTAGCAGATCGAACATGGAACAACTCGAACGAGTTCAAAAGTTAGCAACAAAAATGGATTTTGGGGACAAGCAAAACTTATACTGAAAGACTGAAGGACCTGAACCTTCTTCCTGTGAACCTATACATGGAAATGCACGACATTTTAATACTAATAGCCCTGCTTGAAAATCGTTACGATGTAGAAATAGAGCGAACACCATCTGAATCATGCAAAATCACCCGACAGTCATCAAGAGGCGAATTTCAAATCCCAAAAAGCCGCTTGCAAAGAACGGACGACAATTTTTTCAGACGAGTGAAACATCTATACAACTGTCTTATCCGAGCCTGCCCAATTTTTAGCCTTAGACCAAGCAAAGCGACTCTGACCTACATATACCAGAAATACTTCAAAAAAATGTACAGTGAAGTCAACAAATGTACATGGAAACTCTTATGCAGATGTGGAAACTGCAATGTTTACAACAAACTGAGATAAAACATGGACTGTAAAAGGGGTGAAATTCCCTAGAGCTAATGCTCTGAAGCATATTCTTCTACTACTACTACTACTACTAAAAAACTACTCTAATTTCAGTACTTAATAAATTACGGAACTTTTTTTGTAGTTTTTATATGGTCGGAACAATCTCTGCTACGTACACAGCAACCGAGTATCCGTCTTAGGTTTCTTTATGTTCAGCTATGATGGACGAGTACGCAAAAACTAAAAAGATCCTTTATCATTATGGGCGATCACTTGCGACACAACGCAAGAGTAGTAGTATTTACCAAAAAAATTGTGTTCATTCGCCCGAAGTGCATACCGACGGAAAAAAAGCTAGGTTCTAAAAGGACTGGCTAGCGTCTAAACACAGCTCTACATGCTTTTCACCGTCGATGCCAAAACCAGTTCTTTTGGTGGTCTTTCTAACATCGGGTCGACAAAAACGTTACTGTTTCCGGCTTCGATCAGAAGGCTCTAATTAACTGAATTACATGCAAAAATAGTGAGCTCATGGCTGGGGTCTCAGTATCCCCAGACCACGAGGTCACTCCTAAAAACAGGGCTACTAGTTATTTATTATATTACTATTGTT